AGAACCAAAGATATAGATACACAGATCATAGAAACAAGTATGCAACAGTTCGAGGCCAAACAGATGCAAATGCAGACAGTCAGAGATGTGGATACACAGATCGAGCAAAAGTACTTAATGTTACACCACTAACTTTGAACCATAATCCAGGTAATACTCATATCTTTGATTTTTTGAATACCATTATTGGTTAGAAATTTTTAATAGATAGATTATTACCTTATGTTTCCTTTACTTTCAAAGTTTTGTGGCATATTCGAATCAGCAGAGTCATGTCACTTTGATTGACGGAACTCCATTAACATGTACCAATAAAAGAAACAATTGATTAGTGTTTGTAAAATTAATACTCAATACAATTATAAATGTCGATGAGAAATATAAAGTAATCTGTCATTTGGCAATTGTATTTACCTTTCTTCTGTGCCTATACACACATCGCAGTGGTCCTGTTGTTATATTTGCCTTCACTGAGTTGGCATGCATACATTAATAAAACACAAGTTTAACAATCTGTGCAACAAATTGTTTATATGTTGAAAAGTAACATATTAATTCTGTATTTTTTACTACTCTTTTAGATTTTTGGTAATAACACCCAAAAAATATAAGGTAATCTACAAGTTTTATTCGATTGTTTGCAAAAAATTAACAGATATTAAAATATAAATATAACTATAACTATTCTCATCAAAGAAGGTCAGATGCAAAAACACATTTCAGTAAATTATTTGTAAAAAAGTGATAGAAATACATACCTCTTTAGTATTCCAAACTTGATGTTTGCACCGATGTGTAAATCGAAGTTCTTTTATGTATCTCACCTTTGATAAAACCAAAAAAAAAACAAAATATTAAAACAACATATGATTTACGAAGAACAAACATTTCATTTTACACCAGCTTTCAACAAACTACAAAAAACAAAAAACAAACGATTTACTAAGGCTTTCGCTACATATCTTTCGGATCTGTGGAACCCTAAAAAAAACGATAAATTAAAAAAAAAAATCGAATAAAATAATCGGCTGTAGATCTTACTTTTCTGGACTATAAGATATCGAAAAATGGTAAAACCAGATCGATTATCAATTTTGCAGTAGATTTCGATCAAGAAAATTACATATCACCTTAAGAAAATACATAAGATACAGAAATATGGTGTTCTTCATCAAATTATAATAAAATTGATTCCAGATAACTATAGATCCACCCATTCCTGCACTCAATCTCAGATAAATGATAGAGTCAGAGAGAGTGAGGCGGTGAATCAGTGAAATCCTTCTTTTTCGAGTCTATTTTCCTTTTACACTCCAATGAAACGACTAGAGCCCGTCCGATTATGCGGTCATTTGCTGACCGTCCGATGAAAGCTTATCAATTTTATTTAGTCTTCTTGGTATTAAACTGGGCAGATTTAATTGGGCTGAATTTGGTTTATTTATTTCTTTACTCAATTGGGTTGAATCTATTATTATCAGCCTTATTCTCTGTTTTTAATTTCTTAAATTGGGTTGAATTGTTTATGAATAGTGTTTATGAAATTGGAAGATTTGATTAGAATATTACTATATTCAAATTTTTTAATAATTTATCACATCTATGTTAAATTTTCACACATTGTTTTACAATTTATTGAATTTTTGTAAATTAATATATATATATATAACATAACTATAACTATTTATATATATTGATCAAATATTTCCTTTCATTTGCGTTCAATTTGAGTTCAATGCAATGTAAATTAAAATTAATTTTACACAAATTTTTTTGTTTGCAGGAAACAAAAGGAATAGTCAACTCAAATGTATGTGCACTTCACAGTCAAATATTCAAACAAGACCTGATGTTGTCCATTCTTCACAAAATACGTCGTTATCTAATATCACTAATGGTAAATAAAAAAAATCAATTACAATTATTTATTTATAAATTTACACATATTATTTTTTTCTTATTTCTTTTTATTTTTCATTGCAGTTTTCGGAGCTACAGAATCATGCATGAGAACGACTAATATATATTCCAACATTTGGAGTATGATTTATTTATTCTATTACAATTATAAATTAAAGCTTATGTTTTCTTAACAATAAATGTATTGATAAATTATAAATTTTATTTTCCTTTGCAGACACTATACAATCATCCTACGGTCCCAGAGTTAATTTGACTGCGCAACATCAAACCTCTTTTTCGGACAAAACCAATCTTGGTAGAGAAACATGTGTTATTGATCTCAAAAGTGATGAAGAGCCAGAAATAAGACATATGAGTGAAATATATTTTCATCAATCAAGTCGTTAGCAACAATAGTACTGGTGTTGTACTTGAAGGTTCGCTCTAAACGTTTTTATAGTAACATCAAATTGTTTTTTAAATTACATATACAATGTAGGTGTCAATGCGCCAAGTCGAGCCACGATAAAGAGGTCTTTAATAACATATGATTGTTTCTTTGTGGAATAATATTTTTATTGTACAATTTTCCTAGGTATTGTAAAACTTTTATATTGCATATTGCATCTTATAATATAATAATCCCAAAGTTAATATATTTTGTCTCTCGCACAGGTTACGTACTATATATATGCCGTAATTTCAAGTTTATTTATTTATATAATTATAAGGTTGGCTAATTTTCCTTAAAATTGTACACCCCGTGCATCGCACGGGCTCTGTACTAGTTATCATAATTGACAAACCAAGTGTAAAATAATGGTGTTATTTTCAATAGTCACCTATTTAATTCTCGATTTTTTTTTTTTTTTTTGCATATTTATTGTTTATAATTTCACAATAAGATTATTAATAATACTTGTTACTTTCTTGTGTACAGAAAATAATATTGTGGATTTTTATTATATATATGGATTATAGATGCAGATTATGGACCTGCACATAAAAAGATAATTGGCAATGAGAATCATGATTGACTGATTACCAAAATAAAATTAACACAATTAACTCTTTATAATATTCTTTTTCCTATCAATATATAGGGTAAGACTACAGTCCTGTTATCGAATCATTCCGTTGGAATTTGTAACCGTTATATGCACATGATAACTAACATAAATGTACATCTAACGGTTAAAAATCAACGGGACTGTAGTCTTACCCATATATATATATATATAGCCACGTCTCCCCTGCCCTAAAGAATATCACCACACAACACAAGTGATGATGAGGCTTTGTAATTGCAATATTTCGACGCTCACCATCTTTCTCTATCTCGTCGCGTGCTTCTTCAGCAGCACCACTAAGGGAGACTATAAATCTGAATTCATGAGACCACAGAACGCGGCCCGCAGAGCGACCCGTGCTGGGCTGGCCCCATTGGTATGGGATGCCAAGTTGGAAAATTACGCTCTCACATACGCAAAAACGAGACGTGGGGACTGTGCCCTGCAGCATTCGGGCGGGCCCTACGGCGAGAACATATTCTGGGGCAGCGGAGATGGTTCTGGTTGGCCACCTGCCCAGGCGTCTTCCGACTGGGCGTCGGAGGTCAAGTATTACCATTATTCCGACAATTCGTGCGACCAAGGGCATGAATGCGGGCATTATACGCAGATTGTGTGGAGGGAGACGAAGAGGATTGGGTGCGCGAGGGTCGTTTGTTTCAATAATAAGGGTGTTTTCATGATTTGTAGCTATGACCCACCCGGGAATTACATTGGGGAGAAGCCATATTGACTCACTCACTCACTCACTCACTCATGGATATTTGTGATATTAATTTCATATTTAACAAATAAAACAAAATAATAATAGTAATACTTCGAAATGTATCTTTAAATGTGGATATCTTTTTTTTTTTTTTTTTTTTT